ATAGGGGGTTCATATTGCTAAATGTAAATTGATTCCTCTTCTTTTTCTATGTGACGTGTCCTTTTAGGACGTAGGCGATCCTAGCTCACCACAACATCCATATTCCTTGTTGACCTTAGTAACATTTATCTCTTTGTTTCTCTCACCCAGTTCCTCTATCCATTCAGATGAACACGTCAGGTAGATAATCCGCTGCATTCCTATGTCATTATTTCTTTGATATGTCTATAAGTGTCAAATTCTCCAAGCCTTGCCTCTTCATAATGTATCGCAGAAATTTCATATATCTCTTTCTGGGACTGAGTCTAAGTATCCTTTTTTCTTCCAATTTCTTTAAGACTTCTTTCCTTACACACTCTTCTGCAGGAACGCATTTCCGTCGCCTCGAATTTTCTCTTCAGTTTAAAAGAAAAATGTCCAGTATTCACTGTCATACAAATGACAAAATAATTGTGCTCATATAAAAGTATTTCTTTCGTAATTTGGATTGATGAAGCGATAGTAATTACTGAAACAAAAACTCCAGTTGCAAATTTCTTTTTTTTTACGTTTTAAGACACGTGGTATGATCATATCCAGTTTCAGCTTCCATAGTTGCATAAATTTACATTTAATTAACAAATAAAGTGGAACTATTTTTTAATCAAATTACATTTTTTTTTTCATTCGTGATCTGAAGTTCTTAACCTATAGTAATATGAAAAACATTGAAAATTTTTTTTTTTATGAACAAGCTGGTTTGCCGGTCCCGGTAAAATAGACACCAAGTCTATTTTACCGGTAAATACAGTGTTTTAGAACAAAAAATATCGTACACACACACACACACACACACACACATATATATATATATATATATATATATATATATATATATATATATATATATATATATATATCAAGAGTTGATAAGCGAACTTCATTCATTAAGAAATACACCAATGATAAGGATCTACAGATACCTGGCTACTTTGTCAGTGATAAAAATTCTTGCTATCAGTAAACCTCTCTCTGGAGATACTGCGAAACACTTCTTCAATATTAACAACATGTCTGGATGAAAATATGTCAATCCAGAAGATCCGCAGATATTTTCATACAGCTGGGTAACATGTTTATGGAAACTTGAGATCGTCTACACAATGGTTGTATGAGCTGTGAAGGTAGGACTTGAACAACATGGATTCTGGGGTCTGTGCCTCTTGTCTTTAATGGGAGTACTTGAAATGTATTGGCAAGAGAAACGTCCCCAAGGGCAAGTTTTGGAATTGTAGAAACTGTTATGCCTGAAGTGCTCAAGATATTCAGAGACTTCTACATTTCTTTTAATAATTCATAATGAATAAATGATTTTAACGTGTGTTTAACAATTGATGGTGGAAAAGATTTTAAATTGTCTTCACAATTGATGGTAAAAATAAATAAACTTCTATGTTAAATCTGTGTATTGTCATTTTTAGCATTAGCTGCCTTCATGATAATAAATATATTTACCGGGAAATTGGCCTGGATGTTTATTTTATCGGGACTGGCAAAATTACCTCTTCCATTTTTTATGGTCCCAGCGTCTGTTGCATAATTAGACTGTCATGGTTTAATGCGGAAACACGTGGGTCGTTGCAAACATTGCCAAGTTCTATCGATAAATTCCTACGAACGTCAGAATATGTCTTCTGCTTATATCCCTTTAAGGATACGGGGATGTGCTGCTTGAAAGGAGGACCAGACATGAGTTGAATTGGCTGATGTGCTTGCTAGAGTAGACACTTGTTTTTGTGCAAGAACAATAAAAATAAAATCATTTTAACAAAATAAAAATAAAAATCTATTCTTTCTGTGCTTTGGATAATAACAAAAATTATTGAAACACTTACAATGACTCCAAGAGATATATACAGAAAAAGCCCACCGGCAGAGGCTAAAATCCAAGGACTGGCATTGGTTAATTTTCCGAGAAAAACCCCCAAGACCATTCCGACATAGCATGCAAGAGCTGCCAGGAAATTATAAAAAAATGCTTTCTTTATCTTCAGTCCCGAGTGAATCAAAATGGCGACATCAGCTGAAAAAGAAAGCAAAGAATATATATTTTTTAATCATTTCACTTGAAGCAAGCCGATAATGTAACTTAAGTCGCAAGGCGGGGGGGGGCACTGAAAGTGAAATAGAATAATACGGCTTTAGAAGGAACCGGAAACCCAATCCTGAACAGGAAACGAAGGATAATCCACTACACCTGTTCAAAAGATGTGGGAGGGTTGTGAACCGGGTAATAGACAAACCTATCTACTCCAATTGAGGAGAAAAAGTAAATAGTAAATAAAATTTCAGATTTTAGGCGGAGACGTTAGAAATATAGAGTTAAAATAGACTTTAGGAATAACCGGAAACCCAATCCTAAACAGGAAACAAAAGGAGGAGTATGAATCGGACGATAGATGAACCTACCTACTTTTATTTATAATAATGCATTGTTTTGCAAATGAACAGACTTCATATTTAATGTCCATTCTATAAATGGACTTTCTTCAATAAATAGGCGATAAATGTTTAATGAACATTATATATCACTTTCTATCAACAGTTAATGATCAGGCTATAAACGAATAGATTAAAAATATTTACCTCGCAGGCTATAGATGGGCCATGTGTAATTCAAAAGATATAATTATGTAATGATGTTGCTATAAATGGACCATGAAGAGTGAGGGACAATAAATATTTAAGGACCAGGTTATAAATAGATTCTGTTTAATAAATAGGTTATAAATGTTTAATGAAGAGAGTATGTCGCTTTTTCTATCAACAGTTAATGGTCAGGCTATAAACGAACAGGTTAAAATTAACTAGTTTTAATACACAAGTATAAATATCTCTTAAACAGGCTATAAATTGACCATGTATAAATATCTAATAGCCTCTCTATAAACGGACTGATTATTATAAATATTTAATAACCAGGCAATAAATGAACTAAGTTTTATGAAACCATTATAAAGGTTTAATGAACTCGTTATAAATGGACATTACAATTGTTTAGTGTATAATCATTAATAAATATGTTGCATGTATTTATTGATCACCCGCTTCAAAGCTGCACTCAGCTAGCTACTGCGGAGGACTAATTGGGCCTTCGATTTAAAACTAAAATGAGCTCTGGTCCAGCTTAGAAAACAGCAGTGAAGAAATAACACTATGAAACTTCAAAACCTTATTTTAAATCTGATTCGGGTTATAGGTCCAGTTCAGGCCAAAAGACAAATTTATGTCGAAATTCCAACTCAGGCCGAAAATTGAGTTCTTCAAATCACAAACTCTGTGGACCTTCTATTGTTTTGAGTTCTTCAAATCAAAAATTCTACAGAACTCCAAAACCTTACGTTACGAAACCTCTCACTTTAACTCTGATTCCTTGTCATTTTGAAGAAATAAAATTGATTTCTTAAATTTAAAAAAGTTTTGGTGACATTTTAAACTGAATTTAAAACATTTTTTTTAATTCACAAAGCTTTTATGCTACTTTAAACTCAATGTAATTTAGAAACCTTTACAATCATTAATTTTTTCATTTATTTTAAAATTTGAATTTTTAACGCTACCCTTCTCATCCGAACATAAATCACAATGCTAGATGTTCAAGCACTAGATGAAGGAAAGATTGCCAATGCTAGGATCATCCTGATTCCAAAAAGGTATATCTATGTAGAGCAAGTGGGGCCCGATATAGGGTGGGGGATTAGACACATGGACGGTCAGACAGTATTTGCCATTTGAGTTTTTAGACATTGATTAAAGGTCTTGGAACCCATCATCTGTGAATATAAGTGGGACTCTACTGAAATTCACCTGAAGTAATAGGGATGATGAACTCACCCAATTCATGCGGTAACTCCTCACAAATTATGGCCAATGAAATACTGATTCCGCTCATCATACTGACTGTAAATGCAGCGCCCATGGCCACGCCATCCAGAAAATTGTGTAGAGCATCCCCGAATATCACCATCCAGCCGACGGAATTCACGGTGTTTGTTGTGTTGATTTCATTAGAAAGAAATTCCTGTACAGCTGACACGTGAGAATGGGCGTGTCCGTGTGGTTCCGGACGTTGAATCATGGGTAACGTGTTCTTTTCAACATCGTAATGCTTTTCCTATAAACAAATGCATCAGATTTTATTAATATTACCTGGAATATTTATTACATGAAAAATTTCAGCCATTCTTTATTTTGACGAGTATCTCTTTATTTTGTGTATATTTCTGAGATGAGGTATTATAATTATTTAAACTATTTACATTGTTCGTAATATTGGCATATTCACAACATTTCGGCCTTCAGCGGATGTTATACGTTGGAATTTCGTCTTTATTTCGTCGACATTGTTCTAGTTCCATGTGCTATGGATGCCTCAGTTTCAGTTATCTCCCTTTAGTAAATCAACAAGTTTTTGTTCACGTCTGCTGTGAATCTATAATTCTTTGGGTCAAGATTACTTCAGACAACGCTTTTATCCACTGGTCCATGTGTCATTGAGAACATCAGTGTATGAATTTTGGGGACCCATAAACCTAGTAAAACATTTTTTACCAGAGCTCATATTACAATTTGTTTTTATTGTTTTTCTCTGGCACACTGTTTTATTGGTTCCCATATTATATTCATGTCTACGCTTGGCCGGCTTAGGACATTTTTGTGACCTAGCATATGAGCTCTGATAAAAAAAAGATTATTGAGACATTATCAGTAATGTATATCACCTGAAGAAGGTGAACGAAAAATTGTAGAGTTGAGTTACTAAAGGGAGATAACTGAAACTAGGACATACAGAAAAGCATGGTTCGTGGAACTAGAACAATCTACCCTGATGGAGGAAATAAAAAATTCGGTTCAAAATTCGAAATTATCTGAAGAAGGCCGGAGCGTACAACGGCCGAAACGTCGTGAAGGACAATATTCCGAACAATATAAACAGTGTAAATAATATAGATGTATAGACTTACGGCCATATGACGTTAAAACACCGGTTAATGTACGATCACCAAAGTTAAGCACCGTCGAGCCTTGTCAGTACCTAGATGGGTGACTATTTTTGAATACCAGGTGCTGTAAACTTGGATGTGCAGGTAATGTTATGGATAACGATTCGGTTTAATACGAAAACCCAGTTCTAGATCTAGTTGCGTTCGTTATAGTCACTTATGCGCAAATATCCATGGAAAAGATGTGAATCCACCACTTCTCCCGACAACTATGGGTTAATTAGTAAGACTTATATTACTAAATCATTATTATACCCTCACCCAAATTCTTACAATGACAATATTTTCTGACTTTAAACAATGACTGATAAGACGTAGAAAATGAATTAATTTAATGATAACTTGTAAATGATAAAAAATACCTTTCGCTTGTCCAGGATATACCGTACAATATTTTCGATGGTATAAAGTAAGTGAATGGCCACACTGAAGACAACGGTTTTCGGGAGATATCCGTGAGAAATGTCTAAATCCATGGCCTGTAAATAAAGTAACAAAAATGTTCTAATATTGAAACATATTTTTAATTCTTCAAATGGTATTTGGACACTACTTAAATTGACTGGTCAGCTCAAAAAAATATAGGGAAGGAATTTTTGTGGAGACAACTTTTTGTCGATTAGCATTCATTAAAACTTCCTCAAGTCACGATATTTGTCAAAATTAGCATTTATTAGACCAACTGCATGCCACGATATTTGTCAGAATTAGCATTCATTAAACCTTCCTCAAGCCACATTTTTTAAAATCGAAAAATGTTAATCTGCGTACAAATGACATTGTCCATTTGTCCAAGTAATCAATTGCGTAATTACAGTTTCAAAATTGACATTTTGTGATATGTAAATGACGACCTAATTTCCATAACTAAGCCATAGAGACTATACAAGTGCTCAAGTAGTTAAGGGAGGGATAGAATATGATGTGCGAGTGTTGATGGTTGGACTTGCGAGATTCGGTGTGTCGTATCTCGTTTATCATCTTTCTGTCGTGGCTCTGTCTTTAAACAAAGCACAACCAAAATGAGTGAGAGGTACCCGGTCCAGGGGAAGAGCTGCACTCGTCAGTACCTCCCTCATTGCACTAAAGAGGTAGGGAGTGTCGGTAGTAATACGGATGTGAACGCAAACAACGTTTTCGGGGGTCTGGGCCACTTGGGGACCTGTCCCGGGTGCACATGCTCGGGCTCCCTACATTAAACTGAACCTGTGTCGCATCCTGCTCTGCATGGGGCGGCAAATGGATATCGGATATTATACACGAGATTAACGACGACTGCCGGACTGAGTAAACATGAAGGAAACCACACTTGATAATGGTAAAGAAAAAAGGCTTAGGAAAAAATATAGGGCTCGATTTGACACCGTAATTTAAATTATCAACGGGACTTCACTTCTAAAATGATAAGAAATGAATATTTTTCGATTCGGTCAAATGTTGTTTGAGAGGTAAGTCTAACGAATGCTAAAAAAACCCCACCCCCTAAAAAAATACCTTCCTATTATTTGTGCCTGGGGTATTGATTTTTAAAGCATATATCTGCATCGACTTCCACCTGCATCTACAAACTGTTTCGTAACAAGTCTAAATAGCAGAGTATTACATAACTTATAAGAATTTCTAAAACTTTAAGATTTATCGTTTCAATTATGTAGTGTATGATTTTACATTAGAATATTAACACATTGGAAAAAGTTAAAATATTAATAATAATAATAATAGCAACATTAATAATAATAATAATAATAATAATAATAAGAAGAAGAAGAAGAAGAAGAAGAAGAAGAAGAAGAAGAATAGAAAAAAATGTGAAAATTGAAAACAAAAATAGTACCTGTCATTGTAGGTGCGCTTGGAATGATAAAAAAGATACACAACACATTGAAAAAATCCCTGGAAATCCCAGCTTAAGAGAAATACAAAGAATTGTCTTGTACAGCCCACACATTAAGAAGAACTCAGTCAACATAACGCTAGTGATATTATGAGAGCTAGAAAAAGAAATCATGAAATTTAGCCATAACAACACACCACTGCCTGCCTTAGGTCTTTCCGCAGACTTTGTAGGTAGTGTAACCATAGCAGAAATCGAAATACTACTACTACTACTACTACTACTAATAATAATAATAATAATAATAATAATGCAGATTTTTAACGCCTAACAAAACACATCGGCCAATAAATTACCGTAAAATCATCAGTTGATCTTCTTTCCCGATTCATTTAAACAAATCAGTTGCTCACTTTAGAGTTGCCTTGTAACAGAATCTCTGATATATATTTTTCTTCCGTATTTCCTTACAATCAAAAGGGAACGGCCTATTATTTATCTAAGGCAATGACGTACATACTAAATAGCTAATAAAATAACGGTGGAACATGGTGATTTATAATATGGTGTTTTTCTACACGAATAGTAACACAAATGGTGGATTAGAATATTTGTTCATCCATTTTTAAAATCCAACCAACTCCATGTGATTGCATCTTGAATATTACGGAAAAAGAGGAAAGTGTGGCAAAATTTAAAAAATAAAATAATTGTTTGTCACACACCAGGCGAAAAACTAACAAGTAAAAAAATGGGATACGAAATATTATACTTACATGTGGAATTAAAATCATTACGGCTGTTCCAAACAGACTCCCAGCACCCATTGCAACAAGGAATTGAAGTCCAGTCATAAATCCGTCGGTTTTGATGAAAGGTAGAATCACTATGCCGACCATGGATATGAGGCTCACCAATGAAGAAAATACAAAGCCGTAGAGAAAAGCTGAATTAAAGAAAAAGTATGGGTTGGAATAATTAGAAAGGAATAATTAGAAATTGAAAAGTGTTTCTTTTTTTTAACTCAAGATACTTTTTATGATTGTTAGGATTGGCAGACAAAGATCTATGACTGGGTGATGGGTAAAAAGAAAAAAGGATCATGATCTCCAAGGAAGAAAATATAGAAGTCTACAGCCAAGTTGAAAAAATAGCTTTCTATAGGCTCAAATGAGAAGAAATTGTTTAGATCATTACGTAAGGAAATAGACAGGGACATTGAAAAGTAACTCCCCATTTTAAAAATGCTTATACTTTATTTATTAGAATATATATATATATATATATATATATATATATATATATATATAAAAGCAAAGCGCTTAGCATGAGGTTTTATTTAAAAATGCGATATGGGCACAAGATTTCGCTACCAGTTTCTCTAATCACTCAGAAATCGCGTCAACTGATTTCACCAGGAACTCTTGTGGTATGGAAGACATAACTTCTTATATTCGCACTTCAAGTTCTTCCAAAGTCTTTTTTTAGTATACTTGACTTGTTTCTTTAACCGAGCTCAAAGAAAAAAGTCACGGGTATATATATATATATATATATATATATATATATATATATATATATATATATATATATATATATACCAGGACTCTTGGCTGGCCACTCATACATAAAATAGAGAGTTACTATTCAATCACCCTGTATATTTCTTTTTAGTTTCGATTTTAAGAGCAACGTTAAATGAATAGAAGGTCTAGGGAACCTTCCGTCGAAAGTTAGTTTTCAATCACCCTGTAGAATCCAACAGCAAAGATGAAGAATGGTTTCCAATAGGCTAAAGCATGAGTGGGATCATCAAGCAATTCAATTGATTAAAACAATGAAGGCGTTCAGATCGTCAAGCAAGAAAATGCAATGCATCTACATTAAAGTTCAAGTAGAGTTTACGGCAAGACAAAACAAAGCGGGGTTTCGACCTTCAAACAAATTCCAAAACCCTATCGCAACTGGTAAGTAAGGTTTCTGCAAATTTGGATAATAACAAAGACTGTCAATCAAGGACAGTAAAAATTCATTTCAGGAGAGTGATTCTCAAACTTGGTGTACTTGAATTCCTGGTGAGGAATTTCAAATTTAAAGCGAGAGAGGTAATTGCGATATAATTTGTAAGGTGAATAATTGGGGGTAGTTTCAGTCAGTGTATAAAATCACACTTTGAAGGAATACACAGTGTATTATATATATATATATATATATATATATATATATATATATATATATATATATATATTCCGAAAATCCTTGTTGAAAACACAACTATACTTAAACATGAAAACAATAAACAAAAACTAAAACTTCTTGAAGCTATAAAACAGTTGAAACGTAACCTGAACAAAATAAACTATGAAAACTCCACAAATATACTTAAATGCCTATAATTGATACCAGAAGCCATTGGTTTATACCAACGGCTTCCCATACTTAACACTTCTCGTTTTCACTCTCACGTGGTCATGTGTGATGTCATGGCCGCGGTGCGATTTTCACTTCCAGCGACTCATATGCACGAGTTTGTCGTTGCTTGAAAATTTTCCATGCAAACAAAACAGACTATCATTGTTGCTATGCCCGTGTATTGTTTAATTTATTGTAATGTACTTGTCAACTCTGATGATGGCTTATGTAAGCCGAAAGCTTAGATAGGATTAAAAAACATGTATCAATATGGTGATTTTCTTTCGTCTTTCAATGATAATTTTATTAAGCTTATCAGACGATATAAAAAGAATTTGCTTAAAAAAATAGACAAAACTTATCTAAATTATTTAATAAAACATGCACTGTTTGGTGACGTTCGATTGCCTGCATGCAACATCAATCGTCATTTTTCTATCTTTTGAATCCCGTTCATCTGTTGTCCTTTCCTCAATCCTCCCTGTTCTCAGTATTCTTTTTTTCAATTTCAACTCCTTGTAACCACATGCACACGAGTGGCATTCCAACCTTACTTGGGGTGAAATGATTTTAAAAACACTTTACGGAGAGCTTTATCTATGGAAAATGTGTGTGATCTTAAGTTTATTTTATTTTATTTATTTATTTTATTTTATTTTATTTCATTTTTTTTTTTTTTTTTTTTTGCTAGGGGTGAATACAAAAATGTCGAGTGCAAAATATCATGAATTAGGTCTCTTGTTGGGACCTGCAAGGAAATGTGTATATAACAGATATCAAAGGAAATAATAATAATAATAATAATAATAATAATAATAATAATCGCTCTTGTGGCTTCTAATTTTAATTGATTGAAGGTGTTAAAATATACATATTCTTTGTCTTGGTGAGTTGATATATCCCGTTCAGTAACACGAATTTACTTGTCAATTACGTGACATTAGCCACGTAGGCATACGAAACTAAGCAGATATGAACTTTTGAAAATCTGGGATGCACTGTGTATTTCAGTTCATTAGTTGGAATAGTGGGGTATCATCAGGGCGAGGTGTTGTGAAGTTTGTTTTAGGGGGTTTGTTTTTTGTTTTTTTTTTTAATTTTGAAGGATGATGCAATCAAGTCGATTTTGAAGTCACATCTAGATATTTGGGAACATCCCAATCGGAGACTGTTCAAGCGGACCCGACCTGGAAGTATTCTAACTGAGCCCACCGGCCATGTTCTGCGTTACTTTTATCAAAACCATATCACGAGCATTTGGTCGTGAGGCATGTACATGGTATAGTATTAGCAAAATGATATCAGGATTGGCATATATTGGGCATCCCTTTTTGTTATGTTTGTTTTCTAGCCCCATCTCTCGTCATACATCCAAGCTTGCAATACCTGGAATTCTCGAGAGGTCACCCATCTATGTTACTGACCAAGCTTGGCGTTGCTTAACTTCGTTGATCGTACGTGAACAAGTGTTTCAACTTGATATGGCCGACAGTTCATCATGCTGGTATTAATATATATAATTAATACAGGGATGAATGTTAATCGCATAGACCCAGCGTTATAGAGTAGAAATTTCATATCAAATACTAGATGATAGCTGTAGACATCTTGAATCAGGTTAATTAATAGTAACTTGGACTGAGGAACCGGAGAACCGACTTCGAATTCCAGTCGAGTTCGTTACGTGCAAATATCCTTGGAAAAGGCATGAATCTATCTCTTCCCTGTCCCAACTATGAATAAATAGCAGGAGATATTGGGTCCCTCACATCGATGGCAACCGGTCTAAGAGAAGGACAATTCTGAATGCAAAAGATCCAGTTATGGACTAAATAGCCTTACCAGCCCGCAATCGGCCAAGCGTGTTGAGTACGGTTACACCCCTGAAGACGTGGTCAATCAGTGTGTGCTTCCTCTAAGGAGTGAGAAGTTTTTTAGGATTTAGATTTGGATTTGAATCTTGATCTACCTTCGTATAATCGTGTGTATATCAATAATAGGAGTAGATAGGTTTGGCTATCGTCCAGTTCACACACCTCCCCGGTCTTTTGAACAGGAGTAGGGGTTTATTCATTGTTTTCCGGTTTCTTCTAAAGCCTTCTCATCTCTTACACACCCAGTAGCCCCTTGTGTCTTTGTGACATTATTGCCTCCCTTGGGGTAAATTGATTAAAAAATCAAAAATCCGTAGCTTAATGATTATAAGAGCATTTGTTTTACATTGAAAATATTTTTCAACATAATCCCTTTCATTGTCACTGCACTTAATTCAATGGTGAATATTAACAAAACCTTTGAAAATAGTATTTGATGATACAAATATAAGATATATTTAAGCAAATAACCGTTTTTTTTTTTTTCATTCCTTTTCAATTATTTAGGTATTCATTTATCCGTAATTTTGAATAATCCGAAAATATTTTTTCAACTCCTGTCCCAGTATGTCCGGATAATCGAGGACGTACTGTATTTTGAACGTTTCAGATCAAAATTCTGTTAACAAAGTGTCAGACTACGGACTTACTGATCCTGCCTCGTGCTTTCCTTGTGATAAGTATGTTATGTACACGGAACATCTACCAATATCATCTATCAGTTCTTCTATGTACCGTGTCCCTTCAAGACGTGGGCGATCACGGACCTCCACAATTCCCTGTCCGTTGTAGCTCTTAATAAATTTTGTTTTTTTGTTTTCTTTCCTAAACTTTGTTCCGTCATTCATTTACTCAAGTTAGCTAGGTAAGTTAGGCTTTTTCTTTCCTCTATCCTTGTTGCTTTCAATCTGCCCTCTGAGTAACAATTTTTCCATGCCCTCTTTCCTCATTATGTGCCCTAGAAATTTTATCTATCTCTTCCTGATAATAAGTACGAGTATCCTTTTTTGCTTTTTAAAAACTTCGTCGTTGTTCATTTCATTGTATTCTCAGTATCCTTCTGTAGAACCACATTTCTGTTGTTTGAAATATTTTCTTCATCTGTGATGAGATTGTCCAGCCTTCGCTGCCATATATGGAGTACTGAAATTTCAGAACCATTCAATACTTATTTTTTTGGTCCTAACGAAATTTTTCTGTTTCTTACTATTTTGCTTAGCTTTTGGAAGGCATTTTTCGCTATCCCAATGCGTCTTCTGATTTCGGTGTCGCACGTTCGTCCTCTTATAGAACGCATCCTAGATATTCAATTTGTTTTAATTTGATAGAAGTAGATAGATTCGGTTATCGTCCGGTTCACACTCCTTCCCGATGTTTTGAACAGGAGTAGAGGGTTATCCGTTGTTTCGTGTTTGGGATCGGATTTCTGGTTCCTTCTAAAGTCTACTTCAATTGTATACTTCTGACCTCTTCTGCTAAGCTCTGATTTTTTTTTTTTTTTTTTTACTATTTTTTTTTCGATAGGAATGATCGCCCGGTTCACAATCCTCCTTGATCTTTTGAACAGAAGTAGAAGTTTATCACTTGTTTCCTGTTTAGAATTGGGTTTCCAGTTACTTCTAAAGTCATTCTCTTTCACTTTCAATATCTTAGTGACATTATCGCTTTGGGTGAATTGATTAAAAATTGCTTGATTTTGGTATCCCCAATTTGTAATCTGCATGTTTCTTTTACTGACAACCACGCTTTCTGTTTCCTCGCAGTTGATAATTAGTCCTTTCTTCTCGCTTTCCTTCACTACCTTCTGTAGGCGTTATTCTTTTCTTTTAGTATTTTCTATCAACACTATGTGGCCCTCAATAATGTAAGACATCTCTTTTGCTTAAAATATCTTCTTCCACTGCGAGGTATATTGTGTTGTATTCACTACCATATTGGAATACTGATACTACCTATCATTTCAGTACTCTTTTCGTTGTTACTAACGAACTTTTTTTCTGTTTCTTAATACTGCTTAGCTTTTGGAAGGCATCTATCAGTTAATTAGACCAAAAGAATCCCAGATTTCTTACTAAAAGACTCCTGACCTATGCCACCTGGCGGTAATGGATTACAGACCCTTTCAGACTAGCAAGTGAAAGAATAAAAACTTAGCAATAGATCATATTGGTTATTTTTCTTTACCGACTGGGATGTGGGTAATGTACAAGTCGAGGATATCGGCGACAGAAACCAAAATAAATATTGATTTATCGATCGCCATAAAAGCGGGTCAATTCTTTCCCAAATCATTAAGCTGCTAGTAATGCCATCGCTTCATGTTTCCGCGGGAAAAAGAACGCGACGCGTTGTCAAATAAAAGAACAAGAAATGGTTTTACAGATTAGAGATAATTTTATATCGAAAAAAAGAAAGAAGATGCATTGGTAGAATAACGCTAAAAGTGGAATTGAGTAACCAAGTTCAAATACCGGCAAAATCTTTTACTTCGCATCTAGTTCTGAAAAAAAATCATTTTTTTTTATTTTTTGCCTCATTTATTCGTCTTGCCTATCCCAAGGCCATATTGCGAAATGATCGAAAATTATTTCATTCTCAGATTGATGATTACGTACTGCTTATAGCTTGGTCATGGACAACACACTTTGTGTTTTCTTTTCTTTTTTTACAAATATATGTATACTAAAATCAAACAATGTAAATATCTAGCAGGTGTTCTAACAGAAGACGGAAAGTGCGAAAGACGTATTGGGATGGCCAAAGATGCATTCTAAAAGCTAAGCAGTGTATTAAGATTTTTTTTCTCCAGAAAGAGTAGTTGTTTTACCCTAGAATGAACCTGTTGTATCTAGGGACCTCAGATATCAGTATCAATTACCTCATGATCGTCCTCAATTCAAAATAACCTTATATGCTGATGTTTGGCCGTCTATAAGGCGCATATAGTCATCTATTGCAAATTTGCCTGTTAAGCTGGAAATGGTAATCGAAAATAAATTGTGAAATAAAACGAAACGTAATAATTGGTAAAGTGATAAACATGTACCTTGACCCTGGGTTGGCTGAATTTTAGTATTTGCGTCATAATTGTGAATAATGTAGATGTCACTCTGAAAGCGGTAAACGAGTGCTGGTAAAATGGCTTCGAATTCAGTTTTGTTGAATGTCAAGTCGTCACGCTTTCCGAGTAAACGCAGCAAATTGCTAAGGTTTTGCGACTGAAAATAAGAATAAAAACAACTATAATTATTTTGCCTCAAACATTATTATTATTATTACTAGTTTACCCGTGACGTCAAAATTGACGACAAGAACGAATGCATTATAATATCTATTATATTGTACGTAATTTTCGTTTAATACAAGTAATTTTTTTTCTGTGTAATAATTCAGGGGAAGTGTGCAATGAAAAACGATGATCTACCTGCTCAAATTCAAGTTATATTTCTTTAAAAAAAAACAAAAAAACTTTAATTAAATAATAATTATGAGAGACAGACATGATTTACGGACAACATTAGTCGTGTTGAATATTTGTTTTACGAATTCAACTGTATTTTATTTCATTTTTAAGGACAATTAGAAATAAATCGATATAATTTATGTGCTTGTGTGGCAAGCAGTGAAATGTTTTATATTTCCCTTCTTCTTTTCCAAAACAAATATAATTTGAATTTGGGCGGGTGGGTCATCCTTTATGTGAAAGAGTCAGTGTGTGTGTTTGTGTGTGCTTCTTAGTTACAACGGAGGTCAGTTAGAATTTAGTTCTTACTGGGAACTGTGTCTCCATTGTTTGGGGCGGTCACTTTGTAGTTTTCAGCGCGGTAGCTTTTTTCGTGTGGACGAGAAAGTGGTCTTGACTTCTGTGCATCTTGTGTCAAAATTCTGTGTACTGCCCCTCAATTGTTTCACACAAATAAAACTTATATGTGAGCTTGTGTGTGTGTGTGTGTGTGTGTGTGTGTGTGTGTGTGTGTGTGTCACGCGCGTCTGTCTGTGTGTGTGTGTGTGTGTGTATATGTGTGTGTGTGCGTGTGCGTGTGTGGGGGGCGTATGACATTTAAGTGTTATTACTATTATTATTTCTTTGATTTCTGTTGTATGCTCATTTCCTACCGGGTCCTAACCAGAGACCTAAGGTCAGAAATGACATAATGACATTTTCCACTGAATATTTGTAAAAAAAGAAAAAAAAAGAAGAAAAACTAAGATCATACACATTTTACATAGATAAAACCCTTCGAAAAATGTGAGCTGTACTTCAGAGTATAATGTAAGTGTATTTTTTTGTATTTCTTTAAGGTATATGCTACTAGTATCCCTTCAATCAGCCTATCGGACACTTTTCCAATGAAACCGTGGGCTCCAACTACAACCATTATTATTATTATTATTATTATTATTTTGTTTTCTGTTTTCTATTTATTTCCTACCAGGTCCCAGTTAGTGACCTAAGGTCAGAAATGGCATCATGACATTTTTCACTGAACATTTTTGTGAAAAAAATTCTAAGACCTAAAACCACACACATTTTACATAGATAAAGCACTTTGTAATGTGTGAGCTATGCATATGAGTACAATGTTTTGTATTTTCTCAAGACATGGGCTACCAGA